TTTTGTATGTTTATCACTATCAGACTACCAAATTAATTATTTTAAATAAAAATTTTTATTTTTAACAATTTTGCAGTGAAATGCGGTAGTGGTGTAGTGGTAGAGCGCTTGCTTCATAAACGAGTGGTTCCGAGTTCGATCCCCACCACGCCCCTGGTAGTACCGCGCTCAACTCGTTTCTTCGCGCAGCGGCCTTGCTTGTCAAGGTTCGTGTTTCGGAGTTATAGAGTTGAGAGAGGGTTATAACCACAAATAAGTAGCCTCCTCGTCTGTAGTGGCCTTCTCGGCCTTGAGGAGGTGAATTAAAATTAAAAAAAAATATCTCAATTAAAACTACTTAAACTACTTTGAATTTTATTTTATATAAATTCATATCTCTAAACTCAAAAAAGATACTGAATAACGGATATCACTGAATATATACTAAATGAATAAAGTTTTATAACTTTTGCAATTCACATCATGCTTATTGCATAACTTTATTTGTATTTTTCTAGATTAATAAATATCAGAAAATGTCACAATCAAAACCTGCAACTAGATCTGCAACCGAAATTTACCTTCTCGGTTTCACAAATGCCTCCATTAATGGTACTAGACTACCGTCACGAAAGCAAGCATTACAGTTTTTCTTCCATCAGTTGAAAATAAACAAAAAAACCGTGCGAGAAAGTTCGGACATTACTATTAAAACAGTTGCTGATTTTAGGAAAAAAGCTTACATGCCAATGACAACATTGCAACATGCAATTGCGAGGCTAGAGAAAATATACAACGAGTGGAGAAATTTACAAAAGGCTTCAAAAAGAGGAGGAGCAACTCAGATAGCGAAAGAAACAGCCTTTGTTGCATCATTTGAAGATACGTTTAACATTTCTCATGTTGATGCCGAGAGGCTTATACAAAATCCAGAAGACAAACTTTTTCTTAAAGCTCAGCTTGGAAATGGAAGACACTTAAGTTTAATGGCACAAACAGACAGAAAATTGGCAGTCAAGTTGAAGCGTTAACATGAGAGACAAGAGGCTATAAAAGCCAGAACAGAACGAGAAGAACTGAGACTGTCAGCAACGGTGAAGCTGTAGTTGAAACATTTGAATCAGATTCAGAAAAAAGTTGCAATGAGAATGTAGAATCTGACCATGACTCAGCAGTGACACCGCAGACAAAACAACCTCGTCTAAAAAATATTGTCAGTCCACAAGTTGCAGCAGCTTTAGATCGAACGAAGATCAGCGACCCAAATGCGGTTCCAATCGTAGTGCATTGGGACGGCAAGTTACTCCCTGATATATCAGAAAAACATGAATAAATAGATTGCTTGCCTATTTTTGTTTCGGGTCAAGGTGTAGAACGTCTATTGAATGTGCCTAAGCTAATGCCCAAATGGCACTGGAGAGGCAATGGCAAATGCAGTTGTAACAGCAATCTACGACTGGAATCTTGCAAGGAATATAAGAATATAAAAGCCATGTCTTTTGACACTACAGCCAGTAATTCTGGAATTCGCTCTGGTGCAGCAGTTCTTATTGAACAAAAGATGAATAAAGAGCTGCTCCATCTTGCATGTCGGCACCATATTTTTGAAGTTGTTCTTGGAGATGTGTTTAACTCATTAGCTGGACCATTTACTGGACCAGACATTTTGATGTTTAAAAGGTTTCAAACAGCATGGCCATTAATCGTTCGTGACAGATATGAAGACAGTATATCAGATCCTGAAACAGCTTTAGTTTTTAGCAACAACAGAGAAATGATGAAAGAAGCTATTGATTTCATTCAGAACTACTTGCTAACAGAGAACCAGCCTCGTGATGATTATAGAGAACTTTTAGAACTGTCTTTGATCTACCTGGGTCAAATTTCTCCTTGCGGGGTTCATTTTATGGCTCCTGGGGGTATGCATCGGGCCAGATGGATGGCCAAGGCTATTTATTCAATCAAAATTTTTCTCTTCAGATCCCAGTTTCGCATGACGAAGCGTGAAATAAAGTTATCACGTTTCTTGAATATTTTTGTCTGCTTTATTGCTTCGCTGTCCATTCAAGCTCCACTGAATGATCTCATGTGCCTTAAACGACTCACACTATTCAGGACAATAAATTTAAATGTTGTGAATGTAGCGATAAAGGCATTGTCTCGTCATATGTGGTACCTCAGTGATGAACTGATTGCCTTTAGTTTTTTTGATGATCGTATTGATGCAGCTACAAAATACGAGATGGTAAATGCAATGAAAACAAAAACTGGAAATGGAATTCCTGCAAAACGTGTTCAACTACGTGAAAACAACATTTCATCACCAGAGCTTGCTGATTTCATTAACTCGAACACCATGAGGTTTTTTGTTATACTGGGCATCTCAACTTTTTGGCTTGAATTGGATTCATCTTTGTGGAACGAGGACCAAGTTTTTATTGCAGCTAAGCATTTTGTAGCCGGTTTGAGCGTTGTGAATGACAGAGCAGAGAGAGGAGTTGCTCTTATCCAAGACTTTAACCAAATTCTAACAAAATATGAAGGACAAAAGCAAGCACTTCTCCAGGTTATGTCTGAGCATCGAAAACAGTTTCCAGATGCCAAGAAATCCACTGTTGTTAAACAGGACTAAATAGTCATTTTTCCATTCAAAACAAAATGAAAAACTAAAATGATATTGAAATTATAGTTAATTTTTCATGGTTTTCAATGTTCAATACTTTGTTAGTTAAAAACTTTTGAATTAAAATAGTTTATACAAAAAAAATTTTATCAAGTGCTTACAGCCATTAGCGTAAACCTTAGTGAAACTTTCAACCCCGTGTGGCACCCCTTAATGATAAAATATCCTTCTCAAATTTTGCACATAAGTTTGTTATGCTAAAAGGAACAAAAATAGAGGTTGTCCCATCAATTTACTTTGAAAAAGTTTTTTGAGCACCACGCTAAAATATATATATATATATATATATATATATATATATATATATATATATATATATATATATATATATATTATGTAGTATATGTTTTTTAACTGTTGCAAAAGGATATTTACACAACTGCTCTTCTTTATCTGCAGTAGAGAACCTATTAGCACTATTAGCTTTAGAGATCTTATTAGCATTAAGTCTAGGAAATTTGCAAGCAGAGCAAGTTGCATCTGGTATTATAAAAGCAAAAATGGAGACTGACAAAATTGCGAATGGGGAACAATTTATTTTGTCTTCTGGCAGAAACCCATTGAAGATTACAGTTGGATGTCCTGATAACAAAGCAAATAGAAGGTACATATATAGTGTTGAGTACATATTTACCAAATGATAAGATATTAATATTTTGTTCATTTATACCTAGGTCAGTTAAACAAGTATCTCTTCAGATGATTAAAGAACTTCAAATAGTGTTAGAACTTTCCCTTAATAAAACGGGGCTATTAATATCTACTCTTCGAAAAGAAATGGGAAGTTGGCTGTAGAAAACAACATTTTTAGAAAAATGAGTGACTTAGAAGAGTCTTTATCACATTTTTATCAAGTAGAAAAGGTGGCAATTATATATCTTTTAGTATTGAAAATTAATTATAGCATTAAAAGTTTTTCTAAAATTTATTGTTATTTTTCAGGTCAACTTCTTTGATAGTACTGGTGGCACTTCTATAAAAGACCTTTTTTTTGTTCAAGACACATCTAGTTTTATTCTTGATTTAATTATTCAACGTTGTCTTAATCCCCAGTCAGCATTTGTTCATATTTCTATGGATGGAGGAGGTGGTTTCATGAAGGTCATGGAAGGAGGTGGTTTCATGAAGGTCAAGGTAAATGTTTTTGATGTTAATGAAAGTACTACTTCAAATTTATACTTAAATAGTGGTGTACAACGATGTCAAATCCTCTCCATAGTTGAAGATGTGCAAGAACCTAACTTCAATTTAAGAAACTCAATTTACAAGATTAACAACACTGGGATGTTTATTATTGGATCTTTGGCCAGGTTTTGATATTTTTTTGAAAAATAGTGGTGTTCTACAATGAGGATATCAAGGTAGAGGTTGGGATGGGAATAATTTAAATCAGATACTAAAGTGTGTTGATGAGTTGGAGTTTTGTATGAATATCTTGATCTTAATCCACTAATTGTTCAATGTTTAAAAGACTTTAAGATTGTAAAAGATTCTTGCATTGGTAGAATACTTGAGCTTGGGTATCAGCAAGCCATTCTAAAATTTAAGAACTCCTTTTCATCTGCTCAAGAAATTGCAGATATTCTTGGAAAAAAACTTTCAATTAGTTGGTAAGTACATATACTCTTGTGTCATGTGCAACCTTTTGTTGAACACCACAAATATGGTTTGTCTAAGTTTGCTGAACAATGTGGAGAATCAGTTCACTCAAAATTCAAACCAACGTGGAACAAGTTCAAACAACAAGTTGCAAACAAAGAATATGGTGGAAGACTCCTCTCTTCTGTTATTGATTTTAACGGAAGAAGAGTTAGTAATGTTTAGGTGCTTTATGTTCCATATGTCAGTAGTATTTGTAAACATTAGTCATTTTATTGTTTTAAATTTTATTCAATTCATTTAAATTAAAAAATAAAGATTGATAAATAAATAAATTAGAATTTTATATTTTTTATTAGATTCTGGGGGCACTGTACCTGACTAATGAAAGATAATAATTTCACAAATCTAAACTTCTAAAATATATTCAGTGAGAGAAAAAAAAAATTAAAAAAAAAAAATCTTAAATGGGTTTGGGACCCCTCAATCTTCCCTTTTGCCCGATTTGGGACCCTTAGCACTTGGTTTAGATTTTAAAAACAACTTTTTCTATTATTATAAAATAAATACTAATAAATAAAAAAAGTTTCATTTAATTGACACAACATAAAACCTGGCAGTCTCTCTGGTCCACTGTGAAATAATATAAGTGAATAAACCAATTTTTTAAAATCATTTGATTATTCAGATGAAACCAACTTAAAATAATAATTACCTGAAAACTATAAATAAAAAATACCTGATTTGATAAAACGTCTGTAATCTGTGAAAACTTTCTTATTGCACTTAGTTTTTGGAATGATTTCTAAAAAAAACAACTTTAAACTATAAATAATATAATATAATATTATATATATATATATATATATATATATATATATATATACATATATATATATATATATATATATATATATATATATATATATATATATATATATATATATATATATATATATATATATATATATATACACACACATATATATATATATATATATATATATATATATATATATATATATATATATATATATATATATATATATATAAAGGCCTCGGCAGGAATAAACGAGCACGAGAGCAGAGAAAATCTCTCCTAAAACGAACTTAGGGAGCGGCTCCTCATTTGATTCGGCGCTCTTTTTTTATCTTAATTTTTTTTAGCAACAACGTTGCTTTTTAAAAAGCATTGCAGTATATTATGCAAGTATATATTTAACATTGGATAACATTTTGGTTTTGTTTTAGATTTTTGTTTTGAATGAAAAAATTTTTAAATAGTTCCTTATAATTGTTTAACCTAATGATTATATTTTTTGACTTTGTTTTCTGAGAGTTTTCATTATTCTAATTTATTAATGAATTGTTTTTAGACAAAATTTTATTGCATAAATATGGAACCTTGATATGAAATCAGTAATATTCAGAGTTGTTTTATTTCAAAATCTTAAAGTTTCTCTGTAACCTTCTATACTCATTGATATTCATTCAACTTATTTTCAAAATAGCATGAAAATATAATTTGAATTCAGACATGGAAAGTATATTTTGGTAAGCATTTATTTAAAAGATATATAGTGCTTTCATTTGTTCCAATAAGGTTCCAATAAGATTTGTTGTCAATATTCTAGAGATTTTGACATATGGTTGCAACTTGATTTGTGAGTACTGCTTCATGCCATATTGGTACATAAGGTAGACATACATGTTATATTCTAAGATTCTCAGATCATATATGAATATAAATATTTACAAAAATTTTTATATATATCAAATAATATATAAATATGCAAATGCAGCTTATTATTACTAAATACAAATAATAATTAAAAAATTATTAACAAATACAAATATATATTTGATCGTAACTCTGAAAGTTCGTTTTATTTTTTAATCTAACAGTTTGAATACTTTGTTCTAACATTGCAACAAAAATGAGCAAAAAATCTTAAACTTGTTTTAACAACACAAGTGATATAAATATTCTTACCATATTTGTATATGGTTATAATTAGCTTTATCATCATATTTGTTTTAATTTAATTTAATTTTTTTTTTACTTTTGTATTTTCTTTAGAACAATAAACAATAATTTCTTTACAGTAAATGGTAATTGGTCAACGCGGTCTTCTTGTTCATTATGCAGCTAGCCATTATACAGTATTCATTATTAAATGGCAGTGGTGTAGAATCAAAATTTTGAAGCTTTTCAAACTCTATGTCACAATATGATGCTTGGAAATGTGTCAGAAATATTAAAGATTTGAAAATTGTGCTTTGTAAAACTGCAAAAGGATCATTCCATGCCAAATGGAGCATAATTTTAGGATTCCACAAGGACCGCCTTGGATTTTGATGAAACATGGTGGTTTAAAATCATAAAATCATTTGTGGTTTATAAGTCATTTGAAATTTCCGATGTTTAAAAAAGTTTAAAACCTTAGTACCAAAACATGTTTTGTTCATTCTTAAAATTTATATTTAAAAAATAAAATTTAATAAAACCTTATAGTTTTTTCATTTTATACAACTCTAGATTTACTTTAATAAAACATTGAATTTTTAAAAGTCACATTTTATCCATAATGGCTACCTAAATAACCTAAAAAATTGTTTGCAAATATAAAAAGTTAATTTTTGATGGGTCAATATACAAAATCTGCAATTAAAGAAGTAAAAAGATATTTTTTTAATTTCTATAAATGGTAGGTTTCCAAATTTTTAGAAATTAACTGATAAGATACAATTCAGTAAAAAATTACGGACTCCTAAAAATGGCTCCAGCTAAAACTTAAGAAATTGTGCCTTCACTTCAAACCACTGGTAATCAACATCAGCACTGATGTTAATAAGAATTTTTTTACTGATTTAATAGACTTTATTACAGTGGTTTCAGAAAAAAAAAAGTGGATACTCATGGGTTACAAAATCAAAACTATAAAATTTGCACAAAATGCATTAAAAACAATAAAAATTATGATTGAGTTATTGATGTATTTTAGTTTGTATTATATATTATAATAGAAAGTATGCATATATGTACAAGTATTTCATAATCAGTATTAGAAATAAGTCATAAATTATATCTAAATTAAGCTCAGCTTTTAAATAGCACTAGCCCCTTCCCATTTCCCCATCCATTTACTTTTAACATATACATTTTTGCCCAAAACTTAGTAAAGCAACAACAATTTAATTTATAACATGCATATTTTTGCCAGAATTTAGATAAAATTGTAATTGAAACTTTTCTTCTTACACAGTGTGCCTGGTTTTATGTCTGATATATAAAGTGCCTTAATAAACAAACACATGACTAAACATATACATATAAAAACTGTGACATTGAGTTTGTAATGTTAGATAGTAAAATAACTGCATATAAAGTTTATAAGTAGTTTATTAGGTATAAATAAAGAGAAAGACTTTTAGTCTAACTTTCTTACTATTTAATATCATGACTATAAATTTTGTAACATTTCCAATACATTCACTATTCCACGCTTCTTCATTTATTTGACCTTTACTTGATTATGATGTTTAAATTTATATTACTACTTATACCAAGTTTTAAGAATTACTTGACTAGTCAACACAAATGCACAAGTGGACTATATAATAAAAAATATTTTTATGTAATAAACAATCAATATAAACATTGAATCTTTTAAATAAATATATTTAAAATCAATTTTTGATAAATAACTAAAAGTTTAAAATAAATAAATCAAATTTATAATAATTTGGTTGTTATTTCTGCTATTTTACTAATGTAATATTTTGGTTTTTTCTTGATTTGATCATAGCATCTACCAGTCGCTGATTGAACTTTTAAAGATAAATATTTGCATAAAATGTACGTTATTGGAACCTAGCAAATATTTTCTATATGTGCACAAGTAATAGTGTTTAAGGAAATAGACTGTTTCATGAACTTGATAAGAATATCTTCAGATATTTCCTCAATATTGCCAATAAACCATTTTTTTATAATATACACAAGCCATATTAATTCCTGACGAAAGAGAAGCTTATGCTGCATTGTAGAAACATTTACATAACTATATTGTCAAATGACACCTGTCCTATCTGTAAAGTAGTTAATGATTTTGGTATAAAAAATGGTGGTTTCTTGTTCCTGGAATTGTTGAACAAATAGCACAACATTCTTCTAATTTAAACATTATGCCATTTAACATAATAATATTTCTAAAAATGTATTGAAAATGTTTTCCTTAGATATTCTGTCTACACCAATACATTTTCTCAGGTGAATTAATAGGATCTGTTAGTGATTGTAAAGTGGCCCTTGCTGCAGGTTTTTGGACAGAGCCCCTAATGCCATCAGAAGCACTCTTTCAATGTGATGTAGTAAAAGAAAATGCCATTCTACAGATACCTGATATCTTATTCATGGTGACAAAGTTAGATATGTTTATATAACTTTTGTTTTGTGAACCTGCATCATCACTAAAATAAATGCAATCGTTAAAGTAAGGCATTAATTCTTTTAAATATTTTAGTACTTCATAAATGAAATAATGAACTGAGTTTGCATTTTGGTAAAAGATTACTACATCTGTCAAACAACATTTGTGGAGTAGTCCAAGATCATCTGAATTTTTCTATTACTCTAATAACATCTGCCCAATATCATCTGAAAATTTAACAACCCCTAACAACATCATAAGAAAGATGAACTACATCTGGTAATTTTTCTCCAATAACATCTGGAAGAATTTTCTCCAGATGTATTTCCATCTGAAAAAATTTCTATATGTAACCACATCTGGTTAAATAAATGCATTATTAGTTAATAATTTTTTCCAGATGTAGTTACATCTGGAAAAATTTCTATATGTAATAACATCTGGTTAAAATAATGCATTATTAGTTAATTCATTTTAATAATAACTACATCTGTAAAATCCAAAGATGTAGTTGCACAGATGTTATTAAACTTTAATATTTTAAAAGATCTAACTACTATAATTAAATATTCATTTAATTTTTGCTTAGATGTTATTAGACATCAATGAAATTTCAGATGTAGTTGAACAGATGTTATTATACCTTATTATATTTACAGATGTTGTTGGACAGATGTTATTATATCTCATTATATTTACAGATGTTGTTGGACAGATGTTATTATATCTCATTATATTTACAGATGTTGTTGGACAGATGACAAAAACTGATGTTGTTGCTCTGACTTTGTATTTTGTTGCAAATGAAATGATACAAACACTGTTACATTAACCTAATTTAAAATAATCTAAAAACTGTGTTTAATTCAAGTTTTTATAGAAACAAAAAAAAAGCAATCTAATATAGAAAGAAAAAAAATGTCTTTTTACTTAAGTTGCAGATTTTGTATATTGGACTCATCAAAAATCAACTTTCTATATTTGAAAACAATTTTTTAAGGTTTTTAGCCATTATGCAACTTTCGAAAATTCAATGTGACTTTTGAAATGTGATTTCATAAATGTGACTTTCAAAAATTCAATGCCAATATTTTGTTAAAGTCTATGGTATGGCTGCTCAAAAATATTTTTTGTTTAACATTGAATAAAGAAAAATTGCCTTTCAATTATAAATAGTTATAATTTCCATTATATAGTTAAATAAAAACTATATAGTTTATTAAAATTAACAACAATAATTATTATTATATAGTAGTAATTATAACTAATTTTTTCTTCAGGACAATAAAATAAATTAAAAAGTAATTATGTGCCGTAACTTGTTTAGTGTTTAAAACTGTCATTTAAATACCAGTCAGAACCTTTTCTAGGAAAAAAATTTGGGCAGCGGTACCCCCTCAATCCGGCAAACTTTAGCGAAAAAACAGCGTTTTTTTTTTTTTTGCGAAAAAAACAATATTTGCCACAAAAAATGTAAAAAAAAAAAAAAATCCTCAAATTTTAATTCGGGCGGCACTTAAATCGGCACCCAAATGCAGTTGACACGAAAACAGTCTAGAATAGCCCTGCTAGTATAACATTAGATTAAAAAAAAATAAATTAAAATTTCTTATGAAACTCAATTTAAAGGCAACTGAATGTATGAAAAATTTATTTTTTTGAAATATAGAACAATTTCATCATATTCATTTAGAGTCAAGTTAAGTTTTGCTTGTTAGCAATTAAAAGTTAAAATAAAAAAAGAAATCAAAAACTTTTTCAAACAGTTTTTATTTCTCTTTGTTTTCTTTTCAACTTTAATAACAATAAAAATAACAATAATAACTTTTAATTTTATTAAGTTTTTTTATTTTAAGTTTTATTAAGCTTTAGTTATTTTTTAACTTCAATAAAACTAAATTTAAAAAAAAATAAATAAATGTAATTTATTTAATCTACGCAAATTTTTTAACTATACATTTTTTTAATTATCAAGTTTACTGTAATTATCTCTTTTATTTAAAAGGCGCCTTGAAGCACTGTGAAAATTATTAACCTTTAAGAAAAGTTAAATTAACAAAATTGCTAAAATCTAAATCAAAATGAAAATTATAATAAAAAATGATTACTAAACACTTATTGTTTGCTCGTGTCAAAAAAACTCTGTTGGTTGGTCACTGTATATATAATATTGTTGTATTTAGATACAACTTTATATATATATATATATATATATATATATATATATATATATATATATATATTATATATATATATATATATATATATATATATATATATATATATATACACAAAATATTTCTGTAAAATATGTTTAAAAATTGTTAAATAAAATGCTAAGAACTTGTTAATTCTGCTTTTAGGTCAAGTAGTAAAAAGCAATTTTTTAAATTTTTTTAAATTTAATACAAATATTTACACAATACTTTAGTCAAGTAAATCATTTTTAATCCAATTCCATTTTTAATCAAAAGCTTCACTGAAGTTGGTTTAATAGTTAATAAAGGTTTAAAAAATTTTCACTTTTTTCAAAACCTTAGATATGGTGATAGCTTCATGCTCTGTTTAATGAATAAATGAAGCAAATTCATCTGAAGGATTTTTAAATAGATTAACATAAAAGAAAATGCAGAGAAAAATAAAATAACTTTCTAATAATAATCTTTACCTTATTGAATTTTTTTTTTACAATAAAAAAGTTTTGCAAATTATAACTTACCATCCATCTTCTTTTAGCCAAATAATCTTTTAGTTTTGAAGTTGCAATAACTGCTGAGTTAGAGTGATCTTGTGGTGTCTGTTAAACAACCATAATCAATGTCAACATACATAAGTACATAGGTACATACCTACATACATAAATACATATATACAAACATAAATACTTACATGCATACATACCAGGCTTTCACAGGAAGACGTGCGATTTCACGTCTTAATATGACCATGCAAGTTACATTTTGCTATGACGGTTTGACCGTGCTAATTCAAAAAACATTTTAGAAATGCGCTAAATAAAAAATATTCTAAAAAAGTGAAATTAATTACATCAAAACTTCTTAACAAATGTTTTTATATTAGCGAAACAATTTTAAATAAAGTAACAATTGACTGAAAAAAAGTTTTGTTTTTTAAATATAATTGACAGTTGTATATATTTTTTTTTAACTTAAAACATAAATTGTTTAAGTGTTTATTTCTAAAATAAATCTTATTAAAAAATAAAAAATTGTTTTGTTTTTATAAATGATGACATTCTACGACTACGAAAGTCTCTTTAACAAATTTAAATATAAGAATGATTAAAGTTAATGCATTTAAAAAGATAAACAAAATTTCGTTAAAAAAAAAGTTTTAGAAAACCGTTACAATTTAATAAGTTTGATCTTAAATGCTTTTATATTATCGAAACGCTTTTAATGAAGTAAAAAAAAAAACACTTCTAAATAATTTAAAAAAAAGTATTAATAAAATATTTTTTTATTTTATTTATATAACTATGTATTTTTTATGAGAAATATTTAACTTTTGAACATATTAAATAAATAAAAAATATATAAAAATGTTGAAACAAAGATTGAAAAGGTTTTTTAATGCATAAATTAAATAGACTAAGCATTTTAGTTTGATGAGTTTTGTTTTAGTTGCGTTATATATATTTATTTATTTTTTTGTGTTTTTGCTTTAACAAAGTATTATTTTTATTTTCTCTTTCGTTAATATTTATTATTTTTTTAAATTCTTTTTTCAGATAAGTTTAGGTAAGTTTTTGTAGCGCGCTTTTAAATTTTAAAAATATGCCGTGGCCAAATCGTTAAAACATTTTTTTTTGCGTGGTCATATAAAGACGTGAAATCGCACGTCTTCCTGTGAAAGCCTGCATACATACCTACATACATACATACATACATACATACATACATACATACATACATACATACATACATACATACATACATACATATATAGATATTGCTTTCAAAAAAAAAAATAGGCGCAGTAAAATATTGAGTTCATTTCCTTTATTAAAACATAATAAAAACCCATCCATATATGCTAAATAATTAATTTTTTTTTGCCTATTTTATTTAAAAGAGCTGTATATATAAAGCACTGTACAATAAGCAAATAATATTCACCATATGTATAAGCCAGTCATGTTTTAGGCAACCTTCAGCTGTCAATCTCTTTCTACAAATATAAGATACATATATTACTACTTGAACAATAAAAAAAAGTACATTAATATTAACCAGTTTGGACAGAAATGCTTGTTTTATTATATAAACTTGCTTAAGATGATGATAGATGTTGCCTAATATCTAGGGTTATATTCATATAAAGATTGCCACTGATTGGTTGATTGGATTAAAGATAAAGAAAAAATTAATAGGTAAAATAAATTACAATAAAGATAAGCGTTCTTTAGAAACATCACTCTCTTTTTTAAGAAACTTATAATAAAAAAACATTATTCATAAGACTTTTTGATAACTATGCATGAAACATATTGATATAATTATTGGCAGATTAAAATTAACTTTTTGAAACTTATTATAATTAATCAATATCGTTATATTATAAATATAAAGTTTTTTATTGCTATATTATAAATATAACGTTTTTATTGTTATATTATAAATACAATGTTTTTATTGTTATATTATAAATATAACGTTTTTATTGTTATATTATAAATATAACGTTTTTTTTTGTTATATTATAAATATAACGTTTTTATTGTTATATTATAAATATAACGTTTTTATTGTTATATTATAAATATAACGTTTTTATTGTTATATTATAAATACAACGTTTTTATTGTTATATTATAAATATAACGTTTTTATTGTTATATTATAAATATAACGTTTTTTACGGACTTATTAAAGCGAGCGCCTGAAATACACGCCTGTTAAAAATATAATATCATAACAAGATATAATAAAAACTATCAACATAAAAATATTAATACAATACAAAATTTAACTATAGACTTTTTTTCATGTTCTTTTTTTTTATATTGTATTTGTATTTTACATTATATTTTTTATATTTGTACTCACTTTGGTTGTTTAATCAGTAAATTTGAAATAAACTCCAAAGCATAATTTGATATATGACCAAAGGATTCGTCATCAAACTCATAATCAACTCTACCAATAGCTTCTAATGTTTCTTCGTTTGTATCACCAAGGAAAGGAGAAGTACCACTCACCCTTCAAATATAAAGTAATTAATTATGAATATCCATTATATAGTTAATAAAAATTAAATAGTTTATTAAAAATAATAGTAGTAATTATTGAACTGTGCTAATACAGTTAATTCCCAATAACTAGAAATTCCGAACGACCAAGGTAAACGGTTCGACTTCGAACAAATTGCTGTTCTCATATCAAAGTCAAACTGATATGAGATATTAGTTCGAGGCAATTTTTCTTTATTTAATGTTAAAGTATAAACATTAAATTAATTAACTAATAAAACCATTATACTAATAAAAGTGTGGAAAGTGTTCCATCAAAGAAGTTACAGGTTGTATTCAAGCAGTTCAGTCAAAAGACAATATTCAAAAATTTAGCAACACAATGACTCCCTTACTATTTGATAAAATTTCATCTAAAAACAGCTCGTCTTCTATTTAGAAAGTCATTATAACTATAAAATAATTGCTTTTAAACATTTATTATGATTTATCTTTTTAACAGTTTTATTATAGCATTTTGTTACATCTGATAATTGATGATATTTTGTTTAGATATAAATACAATAAAAAAGTAAAGAAAAAATTAGGTTACAGTTTTTTATGTCAAAAAAAAATTGAATTATGTCATTTTTAATTTCTTTAATTTTCATACAAAATGTTTGAGTTAAGAAATATGCTGAATGGATACGAAAAAATGGTTTGATTTAATGAAGTTAAAATTATATGAGGCTTGACTTGACCAAAGAACTTTAATAGTAGTTGATTAGAATTAATTGATTAGACAATTTCAAGAGACCAAATGAATTAGTTTGAGATAAAAGTTCAAATCAACTAGTGTTCAATTTACCAGAAATTAATTGTATAATAATAATTTACAATTACATTACATATATTTATAAAAATATTTATAATAGACAACTAATTCTTTCACACCGACCCTGTAGTTAATAATCAATCTTTAAAGGGTTTATTTAAGCAAAGCCATTAATCAAAACTACTTAAATTTATGTTTTAAAGGATAACTTTATGATTGGCTTAAATTGAACATAAAAAACATACTTTAAGAGCTCTGTAATAGAAATAAGTTAACAGTTTTTTTTTGACTGTTCGGAAAATGTTGCGTAAAAAGGCAGTGAGTGTTGATGATATTTTAGCTGCTGTTTGGCAAAATAACGAGACTGAATATAGTGATAGTGAAGTTGGTTATTCAGTGACAGAACCTTGTATAACATTTTGAGATGATAATGACATAGTTGACACCATGGTGTCATATTCATCATCAGACAGTTTCTACCATGACGTCGACCCCTGTGATAGACCAAGCCAACTTTTTTATCTGGTAAGTGTGATTTTTCTTTATTTACTCTGTTTCTTTCTGACAATGTTAGTTAAATACATGTAATTCCTAAAGGTCTTGTTTTCCACTTAAATAAAATACTCCATGCTGCTAATAATAACAACTTTCATATATGTTTACAACCAACAAGTACAAATAAATATGTGAAATTTTGAAAACTGATTTTTGAAAAAGCATTTAGTGACAGTTAAAGACATTTACTTATAATTCACACAAATTAAAAATTGAAATTATGATTATAATATTATATTAACTTTTCATTATTTCCAGATCAATTCAATCCAAATGAAGATGTCGATGATGTTGAAAAAAATATTGGTGATGTTGAATCAAAAGAAGCTGTTGAAAATGAAGCTCTTTTTTATCTGCATTTCGAAAGAAAAAAAAAGATCTAGTAGAAAAACTTGAAAATAAACAAAAATCTACATGTAAAGAGGTTACAAAAACAACAACAAGTGTTACAAATAAGAACCATCACAATCACAACAGCACAGATCAACCAGTATGGAAGAATACAGCAGACTTCTACAACAAAAACAATGATATGCTATTCTGTGAAACAAATGGACCTATTCAAAACACTAACCCACAAAATGCTTTGGATGCCTTTCAATTGTTTTTCATTCCAAATTTATTGAATTCAATGGTTTGTGAAACTAATCGTCATTATTACCAGCAACAACAAGTGACACTGTCATCACAACCCTGGGGTGATGATGATGTAATCAAAACGAAGGCTTTCCTTGGAATGACAATCGCAATGGGAATGGTTAGCCTGTCAGAGTTACAGGACTATTAGCATAAAGATGGAATATTCAATATGCCTTGGTTCGCCACAATAATGAGCCGGATTCGGTTTTGTCAAATTTCGCGGTTTCCTCATCTTGTCGATAACAACACACATCCAATGGATAACTTTTCTTCAAAACTTTGGAAGTTGGGTCAATTCATTGAGGTGTTGAGTGATCAATTCAAAACCACTTACTATTCTTCCAGGCAATTCTATGTTGATGAACAAATAATAGGTACTAAGAGTCAATTAAGTTTGGGTCCTGTGTCAAGCAGTAACAAGGTATTGCTTGCATTTTCAGATATATACAGGGGAAAATGACACTAGTCAAGAGCATGGGCTAGGACATAGAGTTGTGTTTGACTTACTTCAGCCCTATTTTAATAAAAATTTTCATGTATATTTTGATAATTACTATACAAGTTACAAATTGATATACAATTTACTTCCACAACAAACAAATGCATGTGGAACAATTTGAGCAGATCATGGAAAGTTCCCAAAGGAATTTACTGCAATAATCAAGACTGGTGAAATGAATTTCTTGGAATCTAACAACATTGTTGCTGTTTGTTGGAAGGAGAAGCGGGATATTTATGCTTTGTCGTCCATTCAAGGCACCTCTTCGAAAGTTATTAACTGTTGTGGAAATCAAGAGCCTGTTGAGACACCTGACATTTGCCAATATAATTTATTTATGAATGGAGTTGATAGATGTGACTAACTTCTTTCCTACTACTCTTTTGGTCCAAAATCAATTAAGTGGTGAATAAGTGTCTTTTTTAGACTTGTAAAATTGTGTGTTGTGAATGCTAAAATAACATACTTCAAAACTCATCCAGATAAAGAGGCAAACCAAAGTTCTCATAAAGCTTTTCGAATTGAGCTTGTACATTTGCTAGTTAAAGATTTTCTGATTTGGAAGGAAATCGACCACCAAGGGGTAAAAAACCTATTTCTATAAATGTATGAATGAAAGGATAATATTTTTCTGTTAGCCGTCACCCTCAGCGACAAAGATGAAGTGCGTGTGGTTACCAAAAAAATTGTTCTGGGAAATTGAAAGATACAAAAACTTTAAATTTTTGTGAAAAATGCAATAAGTTTATTTGCAAGAACTGTTTTGAAGATTTTCATACAAAAAGTTATATTTGTTATTTACTAACAGACTCTTTTTTTTAAGATTTATATTTTGTTTATATTTATATTTTGTTTATAATTTCTGATACCTTAAAGATTTTTACGCGTTTGCGTATTTGTATCAATTTTTCTTGCAGAATGCATTTCTGATAGTTTCAAGTCTTGATTAGCATTTCTTTTAACTTCAAATTGTTTTTAAGACTGATTTTTGTTTAAAATTATTAATTTTGCAAATGTCACGTGATGCTTATGTCCGCCATTATTGATAATTTAATTTTTTTAAAGATATATGTCTATCTATTTAACTTTCAAAAAATATATAGTTTTAGGGTACAAATATGATGCATTCTGTACTATAAAACTAGTTTTTGGTAATATATTAAGTTTAATTTTTTAGTGAATTTATTGATAATTTTTGATATCTTCAAAATATTTAAATGTTTGAGCTATTTGTATCTATTTTTCCTACAGAATGCACCTCTGAAAGTTTTAAGTCTTGGTTTTGATTATTTCTACTTTTGCAAAGCAATAAAATCAGACTTTTAAATTTCTAGAGAAAAAAAAATTGCAAAAGTAACGTGATCTTTGTGCTGCCATCAATGTTTTTTCTTTTTTTATTAAAAAAAAGGCACTATATTTATTTATCTTTCAGAAAATATATAGTTATGGGGTGCAAATATGTTGCCTTCTATCCCTAATAAACCACTTTCAGTATAGCATGTTTATTTTTACTGTTAACAAATATTAAATATAAGTGCAAAAGAGTAACTAATATAACATTGATATAAATTTACATAAATTACTTATATTTTATAACAAAAATAAATTTATGATAAAGTAAAACTTTATTTTATTTACTTATTTATTTGATTTGACAACAAGTACAGTACAAGGTCCATAGTTAAAATAATTAAAAAAAAATTAATTAAATAATTATTACAAAATAATAAAAAAACTTATGCTTACAAAATATATGCTAAAACACCAATTGCCCTAAATGAAATAACAATAACTAATCAATTAAAACAAAATAAGTAATAAAAAAAAAAAAAAAAAAAATTGAATGT